TTATATATATTCCCATGAAATGCTGTGATTCTTCAGTTGGACCAATGTGTTCCACTGCTAAATCTAGCAGAGAGGGAAAATAAACAACTCTTCAAGTTTTTAAAGGAGAAACTAAATGGATTTTTTCAAGTTTTAGCTTTTCTTTCATACTTATTTTTCATACATCTTTGGTGACTGCTATACAATACACAAGTAGTAAAATATTTGTTCAGAAAAACCTTGCAATAACTTTATTTTCATTCAAACTTTTGTTCGGATATAAAGGCTGAAAACACTGATGTTTAATTAGACATACATATATAGTCCCATATTTTGGGTAAACTGTTTGTATTTAAAATGCTGAAATCGGTTAGGCTCGGTGGCTGAGCCTGTAATCCCAGCACTTTAGGAAGCCAAGCCAAGTGGATTGCCTGAGCCCACAGGTTCGAGAACAGCCCAGGCAACTTGGCAAGACCTCATCTCTAGAAAAACAAAAATTAGCCAGGCCTGGTAGCATGTACCTGTAGTTCTGGCTACTTGGATGGCTGAGGCGGAAGGATCGCCAGAGTCCAGCAGGTTGATGCTGGGGTGGCCATGAGTGTGCCACTGCACTCCAGTCTGGGCGAGGCAGTGAGACTCCAACTTAAAAAAAAAAAGATGCTAAAATTAAATTACACAGCATTAAGCCGGGCTCGGTGGCTCAGCCTGTAATCCTGCGCCTTTGGGAGGCTGAGGTGAGTGGACTGCCTGAGCCCGCGGGTTCGAGACCCGCCTAGGCAGCGAGACCTCATCTCTACAATAAGTCAAAAAATCAGCCGAGCATGGTAGCGCATGCCTGTAGTTCCGGCTACTTGGAAGGCCGAGGCAGAAGGATCGCCAGAGCCCAGCAGGTCGAGGCTGCGGTGGCCGGGAGCGGCCACTGCACTCCAGTCTGGGCGACAGAGTGAGACTCCAACTCAAAAAAAAAAAAAAAAAAAATTACACAGCATTACATAGGCAGCAAAGCCTGTTGTGTATCAGAGAACATTTTGATTTCCAGGCAAGTTTGAGGGGGAAAAAAAAGTAAAGGAGTTTAAAACTCTCTTTACAATGGGGAAACTGAATCCTCAATGAAATGACCACCACACAGTTAATACAACTATGAAGCAACTTCTACCTCCCAGTCTTCAGATTCCAAATCCAGTGACCCCTTCACACTACAGGAAAAGGAATCTGCTAAAAAGACAGCTAACACACAATGGGGAACACACAGGGAGGGCCAATCGACTGCCCATACCATCAGGCTCTGGCTGTTATGCCAAGATGTCTCTTACCCAAGGGCCCTCGGCCATTGATACTGAAAAAGAACATGCAGGACTGCTACTGGTACAATAAGGCCAGCAGCCACACGCAGGGGACCATCCCAACACAATGAGAGTCATTCTGTTTTAAGTATTTTTTATTGAAATGACAATAAAATAAAAAAGAACAGTGACCATTTTAATCAAACTTTTACTTTACAAATATAAAAATATAACCAAAACTTCAAACAGTTTCTTTTATACATTTTCCATAAACTCAACACCAAAGCCAAACTATAAATGATGCTCGTACACTATGATGTGAACACAATAACCAAAAGTTTTAAGATATACTGACCTTCCCCTCAACAGAACAGCATAATTAATATATTTTCCCAACTTATCTCTATTTTCACGATACCATTCATGACTAAAAAACAAAATACACCTAAACTGGTTTAATCTACACTTATCTAGGTTTTAGTAAGTTTTTTCACAAAAACAAGCTTAATAAATATAATACAGCTAATATTAAAAGGTATTTTATGGCTCAAGTCAAATTACAGTATGTTTCTCATCACATATTTGAACAAAGGCAAACTGCTTGAAATGAGTCCAGTTTAGCCCAAATAATAAGTGATGTAAAACAAGTGGATAAGTGGGAAAATCAAATCTTATGCTATAGCCAGCTGACTTGTCAACAATCACTAAGTCTTCTTTGGCCATGAAACATACAAGATTGCAAATTCTGAAGCAGTCTTAGCGATTGGCACATACTGTTCCAAACACTATGAACTAGTAAAAACATTAAGTTGGAGGAACTCAAATATGGAAAAACTACTCCAAGTACTTCATTTCAGGTGACTGAGCAAGTACTTTAAAAATAGTCATTAAAAAGCTGAGAGCATAAGAGTCACAACATTTAAGAAAGGGGATTTTAAGCCAACTGCTTGGCCTGCTGAATTTGAAGAACCTCTACCTTTCACTTCTAATTAAACATGGGAGAAAATAGACTGGCTAATTTGGTTACATTTTGTCCAAATGCTAGCTTAATGGAATCCTTAAATATCCAAAATAATAACTGAATACTAGTTACAACTAGTAAACGGGATAAAAAAGCTTTAAAAAAACTTCCAAATATGCAGTTAACAGTACAAATTCAAGTGCAGAATTATACCATTTTAAGTATTATCTACTTTTTAAAAAAAAATCAGAACTGTCTTCATCACTTAAGGGAGGAAAAAAAAACAAATTTCACTTTGTCCCAAAGGCTAAGTCAGTCCTTAATGTGTCTTTAAATAATTGAGTATAACCATTTAGTTTTTTTCCCCCTAATCTGTTAAACATTTTCCAGTGCCACTTAGTAGTTTTATATAGAATATGCACTACTTGAATTACTCAGGGAAGATAAGATGTCATAAACTGTAGTTATACAATGCAAAAAGAGGGTTTTTGTAGACAAACCTGGAACATAGTAGGCACTCAAAAGATACAGGTCTACTAATCAAGAGCTCATTTAAAAAGCATTCAGCATTTAGTATTAGACAACTGGAATGCACAATTTCTTGAAGTATAATAATTTACACAGCAAAAGAACTTAGTGTTAAACAGTGCCCTTGAACCCTCTTCTAATGCTGTAGGAACATAACAGATTTGATTCCTCTTAGTTCTACTATTTCCATCAGTAAATCTAAAACAGACTACTGGCATCCACCTGTAACTGACCAGAGTAAAAAGCCTTTAAAACTTGAGTTTGTGTGTTATGAATTTTACATTCAAAACCAGATCTCTTACATTTCAAGGTTAGTAACCCAGCCAACCCCAGTCAAAGAATTTTCTCACCTAGGCCCCAGTATGTAGATGACTAGCTCAAATACTTACTGTATGTTGGGAAGACATGACCAAGAAGTAATTTCTTGGTCAAAGCTTAAGTTACAAAGAACATGGGCAGCCTTGAATCAGATGACTTTTCAACTGTAACACTCCCTTACTGACACACAAAGAGGCCAGGTACAGTGGCTTACGCCTATATTCCCAGCAATCGGCCGGGCCAAGGCGAGAGATTTGCTTGAGCCCAGGAGTTCAAGACCAGCCTGGGCAGTATAGTGAGACCTCGTCTCCACAAAAAAAAAAAAAAAAAAAAAATCCCCCAAATTTGCTGGGCGTGATGGCGCACACCTGTAGTCCCAGCTACTCGGGAGGCTGAGGCTATGGTGAGCCATGATTGTGCCACTGCACTCCAGCCAGGGAGTCAGTGAGACCTTAATTCAAAAAAAAAAAGAAAGAAAGAAAATCCACCTCTCCAAATTATAAGAGTGAATATCTGAAATATGGTTGCTGTAACCATTCACTCAGAGGCCAGAAGCTACCATGAAAGATGAGTCAGATGAACCCATCTCCATCACTACCTTCCTCCAATCTGAAGGACTCAGCTAATTAGCAAGCTTACCAGCAGAATATACTAAATTAGAAATAAGCTAATATAAATCAGAGGAGCAGGACTGTTAGGGGCAGGAGGGAACAGGACAATCCACAGAACTAATAACTTTTTCAAAGGAAATCACTGGTCATTTTTGGTCATGGAGTCTAGTGCTCACCTACTACTAAGCATAGACATGGTTCCAGTCACGACTTAACAACTACGTGAAGGTCTGACATGACCCCAACTAAATAAACTTGAATGTTCGTAAATATAATTGCTCACCTACATTTGGCCTAATTTTCTCTACGACATACTTTTGACATCACTCAATGTTCATGAAAATAGCCCATAATCAGTACTGTAAAAATGTAAGAATTAAGCAAAAAATTCATTTTGACTATCTTAACTAATCTTTTTTTAAGTAGCTACATCTTTTAAGATTTCTTTTACAGTAAACCTACAGTCACAAGTCTATAATAAGGCATACACAATATACTTTAACCCTTAAACAATACCACAAACAGCAAACTCCTTGCCTTAATTATTCTGTATCCCTTCAAATTTGATCCAGATTTGGCAGTGTTTTTAAAAAGTTTTTAAAACTTGGTATTTTTCTCTTAGGCTGACAAAATCTGTCCCCTACCTATTCTATCTCAAGATTTCAGTTGATCCAGATTATTCCAAAATATTTTTGAAAGCCTTTGTCACTTGCTAAAACCAAATTTGCATCACCATGGATATAATTTCAAGTTAACTGAAATAACTTTACAATCTAAGAGATCAAAATGGAATACACCCACTTTTAGAAATTTCCTTCACAGATCACTATTTTTACCATGGCTCTAAGACACATAATTTAGCAACAGCATAAATAATTAATATTTTAATTATGTGAAGAAAAAAAGTTCTAAATTAGTCTCTTTTTATACCAATTTCTATGAGTTTGCTGACCTAACTAATTTTAATGGTCTGCTGTTTGTGAACTCAGACCTGGAAGGTTATAAAATATACAAGTCAGTTAATATCCTACTGGGAGTTCTCTGTAATACAACCCACCAGAATGTAAAATTTGGTACAGGAGTTACACCTTGGACTCAATTAGACAAATCTAGTTCCCAAAAGTAACAGAAGATCTTCACCACAAATATCTGTAACAATCCTAGAGTATGCACCCAAGAATGGTATTGGAGCAAGGGTCCCATAAGCTTGACTACCTAAGCTTGCTATTGCATCTTAACATTCACTAAGAGGGGGGAAAAACAATCTTCACCTGTAAAAATTTTAGAAGTTTAATGAGAAATTAAAAAAAAAGACAAATAGAAAGAAATCCATTTTCTTTAATGTTGTAAAAAAAAAAAGTATGAGTTGAATCTAAAGTAAATAAACATTATCACATTTGTTTTCACCACTATCCAGTTCTTCATATTAACTTGACTATTCAAACAATAGAAAGTAGGCGGCAATTGAAGGATTGGGAAAGAGATAAAACCAAAAAACTTTTCTACCACGTTTATTCTTCTAGCTGTGCTCACAGAGACGGCTTCTTTTTCCTCTCCATTGTGCAGGAATTCAGTTGTATATAAAATTGAACCTGAATTTTTAATAAAGAAAAATACCTTTGTTAAAAACAGTACTATTTATATAGTTTCCACTTTAGATAAGGAAATTTATCTGGATGTTTCTATCCTCCCTTGACATGTTTAGCATTTTCTACACCAAGACACAATTTTCTCTCCCTGGTTACACCTTATGCATCAAAAAAATTAAGAGTGCAAATTTGATTAATTATCTACTAATAAGTTCCTTGAGAACAGGAAAAATTTTTACATGTCCTTGTATTCTGGCTACTCAGCACAGTTTCTGCATCTGACAGGTAGGCATCTGAATGAATGAATAATATGACTCTTTCCCACATACTACTCAACTTGTAACCTATCAGGAGGCCAAAGTGGAGTAACAAAAGGTAAAGTCTGATTAGTGACAAAGTAAAAAGAACAATTTCATACTCTGTAAGCTTTCATAAAAGGCCAAAATCACTCCTGAAATTGCTTCTAACCTAATATTTACTAACTAGATGCTTGGCACTGTTCTAAACACTTCATATGTATATTTCACTTGGTCCTCACAATGCTATGAAGTAGGGACTACTAGTCCCCATTTACAGATGAAGAAATAGACATACATATCATAGTTTGTCTGAGGTCACACTGCCAGAAAGGATTGAAGTTGGGATTCAAATCCAAACACTGACTGCAAATCTCCATTCTTACCAATGATGTTATTCTGCAATTTCTATGATTGGCTCTAAAGATCTCAACCAGTATAAGTCAACTTTTGAAAAAATGCATTTCTCATCACTCTGTCTGCCAAACTCCCAGTAAAAATTCAGGACCTACATGCCCCAATTTGGACCTAAATACAGTAAGTTCCAAAAAGGAAACAGAATATATTACCAAGTGTGGTGTTATGATATATGCATTTGGATTTTCTTCCACAATTCCTGGCTCCTAAGTCCCATAGCCCTTGCTACAGTCTTTTGTTATGATGTTGGGGTGCTTTAGGTGTCAGGAAACAGAATCTCTCTTTAACTTTCTCCTGTCCACCATTTACCATACTCTGGAGGAAGCAATGCTGCACAGGGAGGCCAAGAAGAATTAGAACAAACAGGCCTTGCTGCATTTCCCCACTTAGCCTATTACTATGAGCTCATACACTTTTTGTCCAATCACATTTCTACAAGGTTGTCAATCATGCCACAAGACCTCAAAGGACGGGATTTAGAGAGTTTCCAGACAGCTGAACATGAGGAGGTTCCCGGAAGATAGCACACCCAAGGAGGGCATGGAAGCTTTGCACCCTTTCCCCCATATCTCACCCCATACATCTTTTCCTATCCTTTGTTTATTATAAAATCCTTTATAATAAACCAGTAAACATAAGTATTTTCCTCTGTGAGCTGCTCAAGCAAATCAACTGAACCCAAAGAGAGGGAGGGGCTGTGGAAAACCCAACTTGAAGCTGGTCAGCAGAAGTTCCTTAGGCCTGGGTTTGCAACTGGGATCTGAGGGAAGGAGGTAGGAGCAGTCTTAGGAGACTGAGCCCTCAACCTGTAGGATCTGACACCACCTCAGATAGACAGTGTCAGAACTGAATCAAAGGATGCCAAGTTGGGGTCTGTGGCGGGTATGTGGGGGGAAACGCCAATATTTGGTCACAGAAGTCTTATTCTGTGTTGACGACTGCTGTGGTTGTGTGAAAGCAAAGGAAAAACATGATCTGAAAGAACATCTAGAAATGCAATTCTCCACATCTTTACATAGATAACTCTCCTCATATTTACATGTTGTTGACTACGCTTTCACCATCTTTTAAAATAGTCTTAACTGTTGAGAACATCAGATTTGGGGAGGAGCAATTACACAAATACCAGAATGTCATGCCAAAACTTAGAGCCTGGAGACACTTTTAGTCAGTCATATTTAATCTATGGTTCACATATGACCTAAGAGTCTATCTACTGTCTTATTTTCCTTAAAGACCAAAATTCATCAACTATCCCTTCTCAGGTATCTCAGAATATTTTATTCATTTAAATTTTTTGTAAATACAGGATCTATGTTGTCCAGGCTGGTCTTGAACTCCTGGCTACAAGTGATCCTCCCACCTGGGCCCCCCAAAGTGTTGGAATTACAGGTGTGAGCCAACATGCCCATTCTCAGAATTCTTTAAATCTGACAGTTTACATGAATGAATCACAAAATATTAAGCTTTCCATACCTGCTCAATAACTGAGGGAGACTAGAAATGATGGGTCCATATCCTGGTGCATTGTCATACAATTCAAACAATGGTGCAGCTACCAGCTTGTAATTTTTAGGGACTGCAAACAACGCTAAAATAAACAAACAGTATTCATTTTTCTATTATTCCTTATATAATCTCTGCTTCTATTTCATTTTTAAATTAATTACCAATTGACATTTGAGAAATCTTTTTAAAAAAAAGATAATTCTCATTAATACATTTTGGTTGTGTATTAATTTAAGCTAGAGTTCACAGTAATAGTTTTGAAACTAAAGAAATCCATGTTATTAACAAGCAGCCTTCTGTAAGTGCTGGCCCTGGTAGAAAGGGAAGAGGACAACAGTCTTAGGAGTGTACAATTTATTTTGGATTCCATTATAACACCATTGCAAGACATGGAATAATTACTTGTTAAGACATAGGCCTAAAGATGACTTTAAAAATAAAATCAGTCTCTTAAGGTTTTCAGCAGTTTATCACAATGTGAAAACCAATCCCAGCAGGTAAACAATTATTAAAAATGGTACAATCTGGTATCTTAGGCACTAGTTAAATTTACTCTTTTCCCTGTAGCATGACTGGCACATCTAAGAGAAACTAGGTAATTCTGTCTCAACACAGTATGTATTTTCAGTTTTACAGTAAATCCAAAAAGTCAAGGAATGTGGAGAAAACACAATCTTAGGTATCCTTGAAATTATTCTACAAATTTTTAGATGACCGTGTTCAAAAACAAAATAACTTACCTTTTTCTTGTAGTTGAACCAGAAACAACTTCTTATGCTCCTTAGGCTTGGTAATATGTGCAGGAATATATGGATACTAAAATAACAAATGATAACAATTTGTAACTTTTAAGACCCACCATGTCTTCACTTATCAACTTCTCCTTTTCAGATAAGTTAAGCTCAACTATCAACTCTTCTGAGACCAAGTTATTCATATCACAAATACAATTTTAACATGCTACTCCCCGGTATAGTGTAAGCTGCTGGGAGAAATATACTACGTTCTAGTTTTTCCTTTACCAAGATTCAGTATCTAACAGATGCACTAGTAAATAAATGCTTTAATACATACAAAATAACAAGTAGTAAGTCCAACAATTCGTGATAATAAAATACTTAATTACAGGATTTACAGCTTGAGAAATTTACAACACAATGAAGTCTGATTTCAAATAGTGTTTTTAAAAAAAGTTGGTGTAAAAAAAGAATTCCTGGTTAAACATTCTAGAATCCTGATGTGGACAGATTTACTGTGTGAAAGGTTTCAAGAGAGCCTGTGAGGCACTTGACAAGTTGCGCCTTGCTCCTTCTTCCCCTCCCATCCAACCTCCCCTCACTACATGGTGCATACTTCAGGAACACCAGATGAACAGTCTAAATGGAGCTTGCTAGCTGGGCAAAGCCAAATTGCTTGAAAAAAACAAAGAAAATGTTTTAGAGAATTTAAAGGGATGAAGAGAACTAGAGAGGGGAGTTGTTACCTGAGAATGAAAAATTCTGGCAGAGAACAAAAAAAGGCTAAGAAAAGGATTTTAAGAATTCTTCTGTATGTTATGAAAACCTCTCCTACATCTTTCCACAAGACATTCAGAAATCTACTTTTGTTTTTGGAGTTGTACTTGAGGACTGGGGAATAAAAAAGCCCTGAAAAGAGATATAAGAGGAAAATGGGATAAAAGCAGAGGCTGCCAAAAAGAGGTATTATCATCATTCCCAATTTACATAGGAACTTATGCTAAGAAAGTCTAAGTACACATCCCAAGATTACTCAGCTAAGTGGTGAAGCCAAGATTCAACTATATCTATTCAAATCTTATCTAATTATAAAAGCCTATGTTATTTCCCACTATGTTACTCATTGGCACCTACCAGTATTCAAAATATAGTAATTATATACCAGAGCCATCCTTAGGGTACAATGAATTGAGGCAACTGTCCAGGCTTTGGAGGTCCGGTACACTATCATGAAAACCAGACACAGGAGCAGCAGCAGAAAGGTGAGAAGTGGCTTCAATAGCACAGACTAAGAGATCAGTGATTCACATATAAAAGTTCCCAAACCAAGACCAAACAAAGTGAGTGGCGTTACCCAATTTTCTCCTACACAAGACCACACGTTCCTATTTTTAATTTCCAGTTCTTTCTTCTTCAGTCCTAGTCTTAATGTTTAAGTCAACTGCACGTTATACATAAATAAGATGATATGCTCTTTTCCCACTGACACCTAACTAATTCTCTAGGTTTTCTAAATAAACATACAACCCCTATAATACTACCAATACTACTAGAGCCAATCCTAGGTTTCAGTGAGCTAAGGGAACTGTTCTAGGACAGGGTACGGGAGATGAATGAGGGTATTCAGAAAAGTAGTCTGAAACTACTAGGGTTATTACTGAGCATTTTCCAATGACATCAAGGAATATTTAAGAAACCAGAAGAAGTTGAGACTAATTGTTCTATGTATCTTTGAATCAGGAACTTCACTGTTTTCATATAAAATTGTACTTTTTTAAAGTCAAGACACAGGTATGTTCATGGCAATTCTCCGGTAGTGAACACTAGCACCAACTACCACAGCCCTTTATTTTCCTATCCCTCTGCTAAACAAGAGAGTCAGAAGGAAGAGAACAGAAGGATCTTTTGCTCGGCTGGTATTCTGTGCAACACTTGATGTGGAACATTCTGTCAAAAAGCTATAGGGCTTTTGATCTGTCAAAAGAATTCAAGAAGTTCTCCCACTAGTCAAAATAGGAAAATATGAGCATTTGTAACATCAATTGTTGCAATAGATTCAAACATATCCAATATACAGAAATCCTTGAAGTCATACTGACATTTTGAGGTTACTGAAACAAATGTTTTAGTGCCCCATATCACAACATCTCATCTTGCCTCAGATTTCAGGGCAGCAGTATTTGAAAAGTGGCAGAAAGTTCCCTGTTTGCTGCCACTGTCCCACACTGCTTTTTTTTTTTTTTTTTTTTGAGTTGGAGTCTCACTCTGTCGCCCAGACTGGAGTGCAGTGGCCGCTCCTGGCCACCGCAGCCTCGACCTGCTGGGCTCCGGCGATCCTTCCACCTCAGCCTTCCGAGTAGCTGGAATTATAGGCGTACGCGACCACACCCGGCTAATTTTTTGAATTTTGTAGAGATGAGGTCTCGCTGCCCAGGCGGGTCTCGAACCCGCGGGCTCAGGCAATCCACTCACCTCAGCCTCCCAAAGGCGCGGGATTACAGGCTGAGCCACCGAGCCCGGCTTCCACACTGCTTTTTAGCCTCCAAGCTTTCCTAAAGCCTGCAAAGTCTCTCAACAAGTGCTCAGACTAAATATGAATGCAACCTTCACCCAATGGTGAGTAAGAATCTCTGGCCTTCTACCTGTGAGGTACATTCCACATGGTTCCTGACAATCCTTAGCAGGATTCATCTAGTTGCCGACAGGCGTAATAAGATCAATAACATACCCTTTTTCACTTCTGCTGCTTCTGTTCTCTCTCCCTGAACTCTACTGCTTCCTGGAAGCCCCTCCCAAACAAACTACCTGTATACTCAAGCCTTTGTCTTAATCTCTTTTGAATAAAGTCTAATCTTTGAAGACTGCTATGGAATTAAGTCATTCTTCTGAAAACTGGTAATAAAGGAAAAGCAGCCTCTACTCTTTCCTACACAAACTATATACCTTAGGATATCCAGGTTGTTGATGAGAGAAGTTTCTCTTAATATAAGGATCACAATCACAATGAATTCACAGATCCAGGAAATTATCATCAATGAGCTGCTAACATGACAAAAAGAGACAACCAAATATTTTTAAATCCCTGATGGAAGTATACTATACCACCTGTGGTAGACAGCCTCCAAGATGACCATTAATAATCCCTGCGTTCCCTGGTATTTATACCTTTGTGTAGTCCCCTCCCACAACGTACTAGGATTGGCTTGTGTGACTAATAGCACACAGCAGAAGTGATGGTATGCCACTGCCAAAAATAGGTTATAACAGACTGCAGCTTCCTTGAGCACTCTATCGCTGTCTCTTGAATCACACATTCCAGGGGAAGCCAGCTGCCTTATTGAGTGGTCCTTTGGAGATGTTCTCATGGCTAGGAACTGAGGGAGACCTGGGGTCAACAGCTAGCAAAAACTGAAGGCTTCTGTCTAACAGCCCAGAAGGAACTGAGAGGTCTGCTAACAAACACATGTGTGAGCTTGAGATCGGACTCTACAGCCCTAGTTCATCTCTATGTTACAGTCTCAGCTTTATCTTTATGTTACATAACTTCAAGAGAGACCTTGAGCCAGAACCACCCTGCTAAACAGCTCCCAGATACCTGACCCTGAGAAACTGAGATAAGCGTCCACTGTTTTAAGCTAAATGTTGAGGTAACCTGTTGTGTAGTAAAATCAATAATATACCATCCCCCCAATTAAATGAGCCTGATCTAACTATCAATTTATAAGACACACAGACGAAAGAGCTGCATGTTCAATGACAACAGGGGGACACACTCAGCAATGGAAACACTAGAAACTTTAAATAGCCTGATTTCATTAGCAAATAAATTACATGGGAAAAAAGACAGATAATCAACCCCTATAGACATAAAAAAGACTTAAAAGACTTTCCTAGTTCAAATTACAAAAAGATTTGAAATAATCAAGGATATGAATGTGAACAAGTTACATATTTGATATTATTTATTTTTAGTATAATAATGGTAGTGGATTTTTAAAGAACTTTATGATCTTTTATGATCCACACTGAAATATTTACAATTCAAAGGGTATCTAAGATATGCTTCAAAATAATCCAAGGTAAAGACAGGGGTAGGGGGATGGGGCAATGGAAGGAGGGAGTTGAGAAAGCAAATCAGACCATGATCTGCTGTTAAAGGTGAATGACCAGTAACGGAATTCATTTATTTTTACTGTCCTCTCTACTTTTGCATATGTTAGAAATTTTCCTTTAAAATAAAAAGGGCTTAGCTTTAAATTTTGTAGCCCAAACTAAGGAGGGGAGAAAAGGAAATTTCAAGCCAAACACTACTTTTTTTTTTAAAAAGTGACTGGAATTTAACCAGTTTTCTACTATCAAAATGCCCAGCAAATACAACTGAACACTGACCTGAGGAGGTTCAAAATTTGGTCTCCACCAGTTACCAATGCAGTCATCAATGACCCAGTCTTGCAGAACTCCGTCTTGACGACCCAGTATCTATCAAAAATAATATAGCCAGTAAACAACTAAACATTTATGAACAACCTTCTTCAGTGAAGAGACTATTCTTGGCAGCATTCCTAATAGACATATGCCTTCCATTTAGATTTTTTCTCTGGTTTCTTGTTTATTATGATTTATGCCAATCTGCCCATTATTAGTTCAAAACTGGCAATCTACTATCAATATAACTGTATAAGACCGACAAATCTATTGTTTACCCTGGCTATACAAGGAAACTCAAAGGTAATCAGTTACCTACATCAGTCAACCACATACAATAGTTTTTCTAGAATTAGTTTCTGAAAATCATCTACCTTACCAAGTTACAGAAATGTGCCCAGAATTATCCATTTTCATTTTTATTAATCTATCATAGATTACTAATTATGTTAAACTTAAGTTATTTTAATCAAAGTTACACTCTACACACTTAAAATGGTCAAAAATGGTTCTACCTGGTTCATAATGAGAAAGAGCAGTTCCCTGTCCCTCTTCATCCATTCCCACTGGCTATAACTCAACTCTTAGCTGTCTTTTCCCTTGAAATTTGGCTCTATTTTTTAAAGTCTTCTTTTTTAAAAAAATATTTTTATTTTAAAGATGTGAAAAGCATTCTTCTTGTGTTTAAATAGTTTTAGAACAGTTTGATTTATAGAAAATGTGCAAAGATATTACAGAGACTTCCCATATACACAATACCCAGTTTCCCCTATTGTTAACATCTTATGTTAGTAAGGCACATTTGTCACAACTAATCAACCAGTACCAATACATGATTTTTTTTTTTCTTTTTTGCTGAGGGAGGATTTTTAATCATGCATTCATTCAATCAGAAAACAGCTTCATGAGTGCCTACAATGTGCTAGGCAATGTGCAGGCACTGGGAACATACCAGTAACAAGACAGACATAGACCTATCCATGTGATGCTTTAAATATAGAGGGGAGATGAACACCACATAAGCATTGGGAGTGCAGTGAATATGAACTCCAGGCTACAGGGGACACCAGTCAGTGCACCCTCAGCAATGTCTGGAGTCAGGGCTGATGGGTGTATGCTGCAGTGATTAAAACACAGACTGGGGAGCCAAGATTCCTGCATTTGGATCCTGGCTCTTTTACTTATTACATAAACTTGGACACGTTATTTTCATCTTAGTGCCTCAGTTTCCCCATCTGCCAGCTGTAGTGTATACGTTATCTATGTCACAGGGTTATTCTATTAAATCGGTTAATATATGTAGAGACAAGCACCTGGCACATCATAAGAGCTTTATGTTTGCATATACTATTTATTATTCAGGGAGGTCCCCACTGGAGAGCTGGAGTCTGAGACCTGGCAGATATGCAAGAGGTGGATTAACAAGAAAGCAAGGAAGGATGTTCCCGGCAGAGGGAACAGCAGATGCAAAGGCTGGGTACAGGGAGGCATGGCACAGTGGTGAAACTAGAAGAGAGGCAAGAAGCAGAGTGGAAGACAAGGACAGATAAGTGCTTAGGATCAGACTACAAAAGGCCTTGGATTATGTGAGGACCTTGACTGGTGACATCAGGAGTCATGGATATTTAAGTTGAGGTTGACCAGGTGTGGTGCTGGCTATGACATGGAGAATGGATCAACGGGGAGTGAGACTGTTGCAGCTGTGGGTAAAAGAAATGATATTGGCATGATCCAGGGAAAGAAAGGGAGAGATGGAGAGAATAGGGTAGATTCTGAAGATAGTGAGGACAGACAGGAGGCAGGATGTGGTGAGTGATTTGGTATGTGAAACAAAGAAGAATGAAATGTATAAGGGAGAACTACCCCAAAACCCAGAATTTATTTATTTTTTGTTGTTTTTTAATACATGATTATTAACTGAAGTCTGTACACATAGCCTTAGTTTTTTTACCTAATGTCCCTTCTCAGTCCCAGGATCCCATCTAAGATACCGTATTACATTTAGTCATCATTTTTCTTAAGTCGCCTCTAGACTGACAGTTTCCCACAGTTTCCTTATTTTTGATGATTGTGACAGTTTTGAGGAATAATGGTCAGGGTATATTGTAGATGTCCTTCAATTAGACTGAGGTTATGGACTTTTGGAAAGAAAACCACAAAGGCAAAGTGCCATTCTCCTCACATCATATCAAGGGTACATGCTATAAACATGAATTACCACTAATGTTAGCCTTAATCACCTGGCTGAGGTAGTGTTTGTCAGGTGTCTCCAGTATAAAGTTACACTTTGAAAAACACCTTTTTATGACCATTTCTTGATTACTTTTTTTAAAAACCTAAAAAAAAAAAAAAACTATTATCACCCTCTACTGTCTGAGACTCTAGATGTTAAAACTACACCCCCACCCCCATTCATACTTTTTCTTCCACCATACTCCCATTATCAATATTTGATTAAGTCAACATTCAGTATTTAAGTTTTTTATGGCTAGTTATTAAATCAGTCACAATAGAGAAATTAGTAAACTATAATTACATTTTCCTACTTTTACAAGTATTCTTTTCTTTAGAATTAGTAAGTTTCATTTTCTCTATCACTAAATTCCTTCCCACATTCTCTAAGACCTTAAATCTCTTTTCAATTTAAACATCAATTGTCTGTTTTTTCTAAGACACATTTTGCTATCATCCTGCTCCAGTCTGCACTAGATGCCCTTAGCCCTGCTTCACAGCTGAGCTCTAGGTCTTCTCTTGGCCTCTCTCCTATGTTGTTAGATCCTCTCTAATATTCTGAATTCTGTATATTCTTTCATTTTGGTGATGAACACAAGTCAAAGAGATATTAAGATCATGAAACTCTGAATGTCTGTACATAACCATATTTTAAACAATACTTGATTTACCGTGATTAGACAGAAAATTCTAGGATGGAAATCACATTATCTCAGAATTATGAAGGCATGTTCACAAACTTTTAGCTTCCAGTGTTATTTCTGGATAGTTTGATACATTTCTGATTTTGATGCTTTATCTTTAACCCTTCTGCTTTTCTCCGGAACCCTACTCTTGACTTTGGAAGCTTTCAGGATTTCTTCTTTTTCCTTACTGATCTAAAATTTTTGATGACATGAGGACAGGCTGGTGGGTCTTTTCAATCTCAAAATATATCCTTTGATTCTGGGAAATTTTCTCTACTTCCTTTTCCTCTGCTCTATTTATCTATAGTTTGCATTGGTCCCTCCAGAATGACCCACTATTTTATCTTTTCTCACCTGCCTTCTATCTTTTTAACGTTTCACTCTACTGTCTGGTAGGATGAAATTCTACCTTTTAACCCTCTACTAGATTTTTCATTTCTACTAATTTTTTAATACTCATGAGGGATTTATTTATTTTGGGGGAGGAATAAAATGTCTTTCTCTATGGCACCCTGTTTAATAGGTACAAAGTCTCCTCTATTACACCAACAACATTAATCATAGTTTTGTTAATGGCTAAATTTTGTTTCTGTTGAATACTTTTTGCTTCTTTTGATCTCTTTCCTGTTAAGAAGCTGTCTCCAAAAGCCTGGTGATATTTGATCAATGACTCACAATTAAGGGTGAAGCAATAAGATGCTTAATTGTCACCTCTGTGTGCAACAGTGGACTACACTAATTGCTGCTATGGTTTGGATGCAGTTTGTCACCAAAACTCACCTTGAAATTTGATCCCCCGTGTGGCAGTGTTTCAAGGTGGGACCTAGTGGGAGGTGTTTGGGAGTCATGGGAGTGGACCCCTCATGAAAAGAGTAATGATCTCCCTTGGGAATGAATTCGTTACCAAGTAAAATGTGGCTTCCTTGGACTCTCTCTTGCCTCTTCTCTTGCCATGTGCTCTCTTTGCATATACCCATTCCCATTCCACTTCCTGCTATGAGTAGAAGCAGCGTGAGACGAGACCCTCACCAGGGTCCAATCTTGAACTTTCCAGCCACCAGAATTGTGAGCCAAATAAACTTCTTTTTTCTTTGAGTTGGAGTCTCACTCTGTCACCCAGACTGGAGGGCAGTGGCACACACACGGCCACTGCAGCCTCAGCCTGGGGGCTCAGGTGATCCTTCCTCCTCAGTCTTCCAAGTAGCTAGAATTACAGGCACATGCCACCATGACCAGCTAATTTTTTGGTTTACTGTAGAGACAAGGTCTCGTCAAGTTGCCCAGGCTGGTCTTGAACCTGTGGGCTCAGGCAA